TCTTCATTCCAATTATCAACAAATGCGTGTTTTGGCGACGTTCTAATGTAAATTGTATGACGTCATTGTATTTGAATTTACATTACGTCAATTTCAAACTGAATGTGGTGATCATCAGCCAGACAATACGTATAAAATAAGCTGGTGGGCAGCAAAGAAGAAGCCTAGCGAGAAGCTAGTCATAAAGAGAACGCTGATCCATAGGTCGAGAACGTAGTGAAAGTTAGTGAATGTGAATATAAGTTACAATTGATATACAACTGAAGATTCATTTCATTTTCCACAACAGTGGGTGGTCCTCCGAGAGGAACAAAAATACACAGTTCATGTAATAGAACATTTAAACAGAACTTAAAGTTCACTCAACAGGTGTATATATACCTACTCCACTATTTATGTTGTGTAGACTGTCAATTTTTCACATTATTTCGATGTTTCGTTTCCTTCACCACTAATACCCGGCCATTTAATTTAAATTAATTAAGAAAAACTTTCGTCTGATGAAACTGCTTTTGCGAGCTCTTCTCGTGGCTCTTTGTTCTTTTTGTTGATATAAAACTATCTAACATCTCTCAATACAACTCTCAACACACGCACTGTTTCAAAAATAAATTCTTCTTTCCACAATCATTTGATATGTTCGGAAGACTTTTTTTAGGTTTCTTCTTTATCATATTAATTATTATTTTTCACTTCTTGCTGTGGATCACTTACTCGCTCAGAACACTTCTAAAACGATTTCCATAATTTAATGCACTTGAGAATCTCTTAATAATTCTGCGAATAATGAAACAATTCCTCTGCATAATTCTTTCCGATTTCCCTGCAAGATTTACGTCCCTTCTTCTGCTAGGATTTACGAAAAAATTTTGTCACAATGTCAACTAAATTGACTATCAGAACAATGTTCATTAATCCTTAAGCATAAAGCATATAATTTCAACGAAGCAACACTTGGAAACAAACATTTCCCCACATGTGTCAATATTATTTATGAATATTAAGTATAAAAATATATAAGTATGAAATGATTATGACGAACACTTTTGTTTGTCACGTACATTCTATATTTTGTGTATATATTTCTGTTTTTACATATAAATAAAAATGCACGCAAAAAGATTGGTGCATGGTAGTAGCAATTATCAAAAAAGTTAATAAGCGTTCATAATGGAATCATCTATTATCTCAATACCTTTATCCATCTCTATAGTCTTTCACGAATTTCTAGTTCGCGACACTTTAAATTTCAGAATTATTGTCACCTAAGTATTGCAATAATTCCAATTCTGCAATACTATTATTACAAGTTGGTCGAAAAGTTTTTTTTGTGCAAATGAAAGGCGAACTTTTAAAGGAATATTTATTAGACAACGTATTAATCACTTTTTTCGATAATCTTTTGCCATCATCTAATTTGCGCGTTCGGAAAAATTTTTACTTATCTTTCTCAACGGTAAAGGTTACATTTTTGAATTAAAAAATGAATTAAAACAAACAGAATTATCCATATGGTTCAGCGTCACATGTCTATGATACATTGAAAAACTAGGTTTACATACCCATTTACTAAATTTTAATACTATCTGAATAAAAATCTGCAAATCTGCATTTTGCAGAAATTCGGAATATAAGTAAATATGGAATGTAGCTTCTGCCTCTCTGGCAATCATTTGTACTATTAAGGATATTAAGTATACATTAACGTTTGCAGAAATAATATTTGATGGTCCTAAATGAGAGAAAAAATAAATTAAAATAAATAAAATATCCCAAGTAAAAGTTTCACTACTTTAAGTATTCTTCAAACAAAATATGATTTCAAATACTATCTTTAAAAAAATTTTTCAAGAAATAAAATGCTACCGAAGTGCCGATGAAAATAAAAGTATGCGGTAAGTTCTAATTTTTTTTAATAATTTATTAATATAAATAAAATGGGTCGGAGAAAAGCTTTGAATAAAAGTGAAATTGATTAACTATTGCGTTTAGAAAAATATTCCAAGTGAAATTGATTAACTATTGCGTTTAGAAAAATATTCCAAGTAAATTTCTAATTTAGCGGCTTTTCTCAATTTTTCGCTATTTACCAATTTTCTCAGTTTCTATAATAAGAGATTCGTTTTACCAACAAAAAATCAATCGGTAGAGGTCGAAAAATATAAACATAAACAAACATTCGAGAGCTAATGACAAACACAACTATTTAGTGTGTACGAATGCTTATGTGAAACGCCAGTAAGCAAATAATAAAAATAACCTATATATAATTTAAACATGTACTTGATTCCATTTCATCTGATATATTATTATTATGGAAATACGAAATATTCGAAATATGTAATATCTCCATGAAAAAAGAAATTTTTTAATAACTTTTCTCTAAAAAAAAAAAAAGTAGAGAATCTTAAAAACGAAATAAAGTTTCCTAAAAAAAAAAAAAAAAATCTCTAGTGAAGTAGTCAAAAACCCGGTAAACTAGAAACTTACCATATTATGATAACCTAACCTAACCTAAAACTTATGGTAACCTAACCTATGGTACCCCATATTATGGTAAGTTTCTAGTTTACCGAGTTTTTGACTACTTCGCTAGAGATTTTTTTTTTTAGGAAACTTATCATATTATATATCAAAAATCATGGAGCATCTCAATAGAAATTGCAAAGTCGTATGTCGTCTTTCGAGAAATTTCGAAAATTATGAAAAGAGAAAGACAATTATTAAAGCAGTAGGTGCATCGACAAATAAGAGAAACGTGCAAGAACTTACAACATTTAAAAATTGGAGCATCGCCCTTCCCTAACATCTAAATCTAAAGCAAAAATATTTGCAACTTGTGAAAATGTATATAGAAAGTCTTGAATTTAAATATCAAAACTTCGGAGTGTGCAAGAAACTGATAAAAATAAGAAAAAATGTCCTTTAGAGATTTGTTTCTTTTTGCTCCATTTTGGGGAAAATCGCGAGAAAACTTTTTCCACTTATTTATTTGTACTTACTGATGTTATCAATATTTTGAGCAACTTTGTACGCTGGGCCCTCTTTTTTTTTTAAATATTTGCAAAAAACTATTACTATTATGTATGTTCGTCATTGAATATTCCTTAGAGGAATAGAGTTAGACAAAACTCTTGTATACGACTGTGCAAAGTTGATGCTTCAAAAAACATCTATTATGTTATATTATAATCATTAATCTTTTTCTTTTATTGATGTCATGAACAATGTGATAAGTCCATCATTATGAATAATGGCCGGACAGTATCTTTATCCTTTATGTGAGATATTCGGGCAGTCAGGTATCCGGATATCTTATTAGATAAAGTTATTACTATCCGTCTTGTCGGATAATCGATATAGTTATCGGGGTACCGATGTTTCGAATAATATTTTTGTGATATAATAAAATAAATCAAATGTTTTAAAAAATAAATGTTTGTGAAATAATAAATTTTAAAAAATGTAAAAAAACTAAATGTTTTGTGAAATAAAATAAATTCCAATTTATATCCAGAATATTGGAGAATCCGAGAAAAGATAGATAAGATTGACAAAACTTGTCAAAAAATATTTACATATAAAAAGTATACATTACATATAAAAGTATTTTTCACAGCTTAATTGTTAGTTCAAGGCGGGCAAGTTTGCCCGAGAAACACTGAAAAATATAGACTTATTTTTGTACAAAGATAAAGACATCTGATTTAAAATAATTGCTTCATTTACGTATTTATATATATTTATATACGTATTAATTTTCTATTGTTGTATGTTTATTTTTTTCTTCTTTCTTCTCTTTTCATTTTT